TGTATGCTTTTTATTTTATTATTTGTTTTAATATATATTGAGCTAAGGGATAGAGTGACCTAAAGACCTAAGGGTTAGTCCTAAGTTTACTCGGCAAGACATCGCATCTTGTGCCTACGTATCCTGGATAGGGAATGGAATCAGAGTAATCGTAGTTCCCCTCGAAAGGGAGGTTAGAAACGTCTTGACTATGGTCAAGGTTTCAATAGGGAATAAATGTATCTTAAGGACACGCTTACGTGGAGTCTTTGAAACTCCTATTTCTATGTTGAATTTGTTAATTGAAAATTTAGGGTTAAATTAGGGATTCCACGGCGGGAAACCCTAAACAGAGCACGACGACTCTTTGACCTAAAAGCTAGGGTAAAGGGTATTTTCGTCCACGGCGGGACACCTAGGCTATTGGGGTTTGGAAACGGTTGAAACTAGGGTTATTGACTCAGCGGTCAAACTGTTAATCCTAATTCCTTCGGAGGGTTAAACGGTAAAACATGAAAGCATGAAAAATTATTACATGACAGAAATTAAAGTGCGAAAAATAAAAAAAGCGTCGCGACGATCACTCGCGTAAATTACAAATCCCAAAGAAAGAAAGATAAAATAAAACCGCGACCATGGCCTCGCGTACATTACATCCATGGAACAAAATAAATTGAACAAATAATTTAAATATAATCTGAGGAGAGAAACAGAGAACATTAGTGCAAAGGGTTAGACAGAAATTCATGGCAAATAATAAAATAGTGAAAAAGAAAAATTAAGAATTTGAACGTTTATTTAACATTATTATTATTATATTTTTAAAAAAATTTAATTTAAAAAGAAAATTAATTTGATTTTGAAAATGTTTTGGGTTGATTTTTAAAAAGATCTAGCTCTAATTTTGAAAATGTTTTTTAGTTTTAATTTTAAAATTTTTTTTTTAGTTTTTTAATTTAAAATTTAAAGAAACATTTTAGTTTTTATTTAAGAAATGTTTTAATCTTATTTTAAAAAAACTGTTTTGGTTTAACTTTAAAAAAAAAAACTGTTTTAAATTTTAAAAGAGTGTTTTTAGTTTAATTAGAGAAACAAATGTTTTTTTTTGGATTTTTATTGAAAAGAAATTGTTTTTATTGAAAAGTAATTGTTTTTATTAAAAAGAAATTATTTTTATATTACCAAATGCTCTTATTCTAGAAATACAAAAAAAATATTTGCAAAAACATTACGTTAGTTACTTAATTAACAAAACATTACGTTAGTTATTTAATTAGCAAAACATTACGTTAGTTACTTAATTAACAAAACCTTACGTTAGTATCTATAAAACTCAAACCAATTAATGATAATAAAAATGGAAAAAGAAAAAAAGAAAAAAGAGAAAAAAAAAACAAAAGATATAAAAAATAGAAAACGACAAGAAAATAAAACTGAGGCATAAACGAAAAGAGGTAGGTTTGACATTTCATTTCAGACTTTGTCTTTCCAAAGACCCAACTTCTTCTTCTTCTTCATTGCGCCGCCATAATCTTCTCTTTTTCCTGTAAAAAAAAAAAAGAATAACAGAAACCAAATGTGATATTGATGAAATCTTACGAGTTATGATTTGTTGGTGATTCTGCCGGTGATGAAGCTTTGAAGGTTTTGTCAAAAATCTCCCCTCTTTTGATAAGTCGTGAGACCGGCCGCCGTTTTTCTCTTTTGTCTCCTCCTCCTTTTATCAAATGCAACTCATGTTTATATATGTAACAAATTAGGGTTAACTCTAACCTAATGCCTACTTTAAAGCCCAACTTAAATAATTAGTCAAAGCTAAAAAAACAAACTAAAACAAACTTAAAAGAATAAAATATTTTCTAATATTTTTAATTTTATCATTTTTTGGATGTTTTTATGAATAATATGGAAAAAAGTGAAAAAATAATATTTTTTTAAAAATAATTTAAATAAAATACGAAAATAATAATTAAATAATAAAAAAAACTATTTTTGTTATTATTTTTTTTATGAAAATAGAAAAGTTAAAATAAATATAAAAAACAAAACAAAAAGTGAAGAAGGTGGGATTTGAACTCTCAACCTCTCACACTCACGAGTCCTTACACATGGTCTCTTGCCAATTGCTATTTTATTCAAAATAAAGTGGCACTAGAAATCCTATAAACTAAAAGAGCGCGCCACATGATATTTTCTTGCAACAATCAAACAACTGCACCACCCGTTAGTGGTTAGTTTAAACGCAATGCAAAATGAAATGAGATGCAAGATGAAACGACTAATCTTAGGGCAAAATTTGGGGTATTACACACCCTATATTTAGAACTGCACGATGTAGAACAATTAGGGGTGTTTATTTGTTTAGGTAAATCCGAACCAAATCGGAATCTAAATCAAACTAAGGAGTTTTGGTTGGAAATTTTTTTAGTTTGGACAAAAATAGAATTAAACCAATGAAATCTAATGTTAATTGGTTCGGACATTGAATTTCTAAAATTTTACTTGTGAGCTCATCTATCCGAACCAATCATAATTAATTTGCATAATTCATATGATAATTATCATGAAAACTAGTAAACTATTCAACTTAAAAAAAAAAAAAAACATTATTTAATCCTTTCACAATATAGATAGATAAACGAAAAATATTAAGAATTTTATAATGTTATGGAAAATTAATTGATATAAAAATTATTTTTTAAAAATATTTTTATATATTTATTTTTAGTTTTTTCAATCAATCCAATTCAAACCAACCCGTTGTTTTTCGGTTTGTACTTTATCACAAAAGTGTATAAATCCAAGAGAATTTCTTATTGCACCTCATAAATTTCTTTCTCATTGTTGCTTATCTCAAGAGGCATACTTACGGAAAATTCTCGAAAAGTATGGTATGTCAAATTCAAAGCATGTTGTGACTCCGACAAATCCTCAATTCAAGCTGAGTATAGATCAGTGTCCCAACACTGATGTTGAAAGAACTTATATGAATAACATTATATATGCTAACGTAGTAGGTTCTTTGATGTATGCAATGGTATGTACTAGGCCTAACATATCATATGTAGTAAGTCTTGTAAGCAGGTACATGGCGAATCCTGGAAAGGCTGACTAGAAAGCATTGAAGTGGATTCTAAGGTACATAAATGGATTTTTGAATAGAGTCCTAATTTATAGTGGAGTCTTGGGTGAAGATAGTAAAGCAGCAATCGAAGGATATGTCGACTCTGATTATGTAGGTTGTATGGATTCTAGAAAATCTATTTCTGGATATGTGTTCACTAAGTTTGGGACAACAATAGTTGAATATGTGTTCACTAAGTTTGGGACAACAATCAGTTGGAAAGCAACACTTTAGAAGGTCGTTGCCTTATCAACCACTGAAGCAGAATATATTGTCCTAAGTAAAGCTGTGAAGAAAGCATTGTGGCTTGAAGGTTTTGCAAAGGAGCTGAAACTTCAAGGTTGAGTTATCATTGTTAAATGTGATAGTCAAAGTGCAATACACATGTCGAAGAATTCAGCCTATCATGAGCGAACCAAGCACATTGATGTGAGGCTGCATTTCGTCAGAGGGGTAATCGAGCGTGGAGAAGTTTAAGTGCTAAAGGTTTCGACATATCATAATACTGCTAATATGATCACCAAGACGTTGTCCAGTTGCAAGTTTTTCTGTTATATGCAGTTGATAAAGCTGCATGAAAAAAGTTAGTTTCTTGATGTTATAGAGTTAGATCCAAGGTGGAGATTTGTGAGATATTGGATCAAACTCTAGTATGGTCGAAGGGTAGCTTATGGTTCGATAGGAATTAAGCATGGGGTCGAAGTATGTTTGGTTCGCATGCTGTTGTCGGAGTAATGCGTGTTGTAATCGAAGTTTGTTTTAACATGCATTAGTAAATATTGTTAGATTTATTAGCATATTAAATTGGGTCTTGCTTGTAAGCCAAATTGTTTAAGTTAGCTTGTAATGGGTAATTGTTAAAAAGCCCACTATAAATAGAATGTTAGTTTCTCAATCTTAGAATAAGGAAAAATAGGAAGATAAAATCTTAATTACAAGAGAGAGAAGTTATTTTATTATTTTTGTATACTTGTAATCTTGTTCTAAGAGAAAGGAAAAAATAGCAGTTTATAACTAATCTTTGTTGTTCCTTGTTGTTTTACCTTGTTTTATTTGTTAACCCTAACCCTTGTGTGTTTTTTGATCATAAAGAAATCGTTTATATTTTGTTTGAAGACATCTGATTCACAACAGATATAAATATTCATAGGTAAAAGGTTTGAAAAAGAATACATGAATTACAAGAAAAGAATTGGACATTAATGATGATAGAGCATCAATTTTCATCCTCTGAAACTCTGCAAGCGTATGTCTATGATTAATATTTGAAACCCTTAGCAAAAACATCCATGTTTGCTTTTATAATAAGTTTTCTAATTGAAAAACTGCGTTCTGATTTGGTATAATCAAGTGTGATGCTTTATTAATTAGGCACGAGTCAAATCGCGCCACAATTTAATTTGGTGGTTGTGCAATTTGATATATATATATATATATATATATATATATGCGCGTTTTTTTTTTTTTTTAAACTGTATCTATGCTTATGAAAAATCTCACTCGAAAAGTTCTAATATCACATGTTTTTTCCTTTTTCAAATTTGAATGATAAACTCCTCGATATAGCAAAATTAAGAGTAAGCTTGTGGAATTAATAACAAATATAGTACTCGCTAATTATTTAAAACTTCCCAGATGATATGGCTGTGTTTTGCAGATATGGCCATGTGGTGAAGTTGATAAATGGGAAGGATTCTAAAAACTGTTAAAATTTTGATGAAGCAATATTAATAAAGTAATTCTTTGATTGAGCATGAAACTGGTGACACCAAAGAGATAAGGCAACTTTATGCTTTTATGAACAAATTATAATAGTACAATAACGATTAAACGAAATATAAACACCATAACACAACCCCATTGTACATTACCAAACAAGAAAAGTAAACCAAGAGCCTCAATTGCGACAAATCCGAGCTGTTGGGTTAGTGACACAAACAGGGGCATACTTTTTCTTTGCTTCTGGGGTACCTCTTTTAGGTTCATCTTCATCAGCCATTGCAACACCAGCAACAGAGCAAACAGTGGCAGCGGCTGCAGCAAACATCAACTCTCTCCTTCCATTGCTTCCCTCCTTGTCTTTGTCGTATCTAACCATCTTTTCCCCTTCAACAGCCCTGACAGCGTTGATAACGAATCTTCTCTGTGTTGCTACGGCTGACCGATTAGTTGCGGTCGGGAAGCCAAGGATTGAGGCTGTCATGGTGATGGATGCCATTTCTACAATTTGATCCTCTTTGCTAGTTGCTACCTTCTATGGTGCATGTGGTTGGATAGAAGAATGTATAAGGAAGGTAAAACATACAAAATGTGACTTGTTCTGGTAGGACCTTGCAATATCTTATCTCATAAATAAAATGGGGATGGGATCAGGCTTATCTGATATGAAGTAATATAAGCCACCCAACATTATTCTAAAAGATAACACAACACAAATTTTGGGTAAAATCTACGGTAAAAGCAAAAAAGCCAAAAAGAAAAGTAATCCCCTAATTTTTTTAACTTAACCTTTCTACATAGAATGAATTACATTTTTTTAGGTCATTTGCATAAAACAGAATCCTCATCTCTTGTTCTGTATGGTGGAGGTAATAAATTGTCAATGTTAGCAAAAAGATCTCCACGTCCAGGCGGTGATTTCGCAAACGACGAGTCTAAAACCGAGTCTGGAATTGCTACCATAGTTTCTTCAAGAAATGATTTAACTGTCTGCAAGGTTAAAAACAATTTTAAGTTTTTGAAGCACGCCTAATGAAGTAACTGAAGTATTAAAAAAAGAAAAAGAGAGATATGTTAATAGTATGCCAAAAGGTATATAAAGCCGTAAAATGGCATCTACATGCCATAGAATCCTCCTAACTAACCAAGTAACTTAATACTAAGCACTTTGTACAGAAAAAAGAAAAAAACTATAAATAACAGTACGCAGACATTCCTGAATCGCAAATTTGCATAATATTGGTGACATGATACTTTTTTGTATTGCACGTACGTGCCAGATAACCAAACAAAATGTGAACTGAAGGAACTAAGAGTCGCCATTTTGAAAATGTCAGGGATACGACATGTACAAAAGAAGAAAAGGGAAATATTCTATCCTAAAATAATGTCATTTACGACTCATTTCAACCAAATTACCTCACAAATGACTCATCCGGGTAAGGTATTCAACTACAACGCTAGATCCAGACACAACAATTTATTTCTTGATCTTCTAAGTTACTATATTACATTATAAAAAAGTGCGGTGACATGACATAAACTTTCACCTTAAGGAAAAGGTGAAATATACTGAAAAAATATTTCCTTATTTGCTGTCTTAATTGGTTCCTTGTTGTGCTATTAACAGCTGACTAATTAGTAATTACTTTGCAACATGCAAGCACTAATTCGGTTTAGTACATAATTAACATATACCAGTTCCCTTATTATCCATGAATGAGAAAATCAGGGAAATTACAGAAACTTAAAGCAAACTGGGTAAGATAAGTTTGTTTATCTGGATATTAGACGACTTCATCTAATCAATGTGATATAAGTAAAACACTATACACCATAGTAATCAAATATTTAGATTTTTTCATAGTAAATATACCGTGCAAGTCTGGAAAGCAGAATCGGCTTTGCGCTTCCAAAGTCCATTCCCAGGCTCAGAATGGAAAAAACCAAGTAAAGGCTGCAGCAAAGTAAACAATGGTCATGTGATAACAGAAAGTATCAGTGATATATTTATCACATGCTTTACATATGCATACTTTTAACATAAAATATAAAACAGGAAACCATAGTTGAACCACAGTAGGAAAACAATAGAAGGAAAAAAAATGGCGGGTATAACTTCTTAAAGTGACATTACATGTATGTTTGAAACATTATAGCTTTGTCATTATTTTCTACATCAGTGCTATTGTGTTGTATATTATCATGAATTGTGGTAATTAGGGTAATCCATGACACTCATATATAACAGCCTCGCGTGCGTAGGGTAACACATAGATTCATCACATGCACTCTCGATTTTATATTTCTCAAATATGGTATCTAGAGCCTAACAGATGGTAAAACCCTAATACATGGGTTACTGTTAATGTTATAACTAAGTAGGAGACTTGTTACGTTGTTTAGGAGTAGGCCAAGATCCTTTATACCAATGATACTCAGTACCTATATGGACTTTTCCAGAATCTTATAATATCATGGCCCCGAGATGTTTTGATGGCTCCGTGGAAAAATATTTACGAAAAGTTAAAGGTATCCTACCAAATTGGTTGTTCAATTCACATTTTAAGGAGAGTTAAAGCAGTGGAATATTTTTCTGCCAAATTCAAGTCTTTTCCATCATCCAAAGGGGTTCATCAGTTTAGTTATCCAAATAATCCACAAGTGAATGGTACTGTAATTCCTTTAAAATTTTAGGGAGATGCAATCCTTACTGCTGGTTTCATAGTTAATTTAATTCTATGCCGCCTTCTCTACTAAATAACCAAATTCCACATTCCATTTTATTCAGGTGAATCTACATGTAAAGCATTTGTTTTAGATTATTAAAAATCATCTTTAATGTTCTAGTTATGTTTTTGAAAATGCTTTTTCAACCATGGTTTATACTATTTTTGAAAGTCTAAAGAATAGCCTAATTTATTTAAATAAAAATGATTTTTAGAGAATCTAAAATAAACAAATCAAATGTATTTTCTCTGGATATTCTAGAACCCAGATTTGGATCATACCATGTACATTTTTGCTTAAATTTAAGGCCGGGGGAGTGTATAAAATATAAAGAGACGCTCTTGCTGAGTGTGTTACATAATCCAGAATTCAGAAATCTCTATCATATTTTCTTCTCATGTTACTCGCTCATCTGCTCTATCTTCTCATGTTACTCACTCATCTGCTCTATCTTCTCAAGTTCTTGCTTTATTGAATAGTAGAAATTCTAAGAGTATGAAGTTTGTAAACAAAACAACAAGTTCTATTTGTCTGTTCGTACCTTCACAATGTCTCGCACAGTTGGCCGAAATCCATATTTTAGTAACACTGAGTCTCCATATACTTGGTATTTCTCGAGGACCTTAATAAAACAAATAAGAATAATAGAATTAGCAAATTTCAAGTAATGACAAAAGTGAACTACGAAATTTGTGCAACTTAGTCCATTCAAATTGAAATAGTATGTGATAGAACCTGACGACGTGTAAGACCAATACTTGGTACACCATAAATTGCAGTATCAACATTTCCCAAAATATGCCAAGGGCTGTTGAAATTATAACAATGGTTACTTGCGCTACCAAGTATCAGTTTATATAAATCACATTAAAAATGTTCATTAACAGTGAAAACATTATTAGAGGCCAAATCATTTATGTACTTCAACCTAACAATTTAAGGTTTTAGAAATTAGGAAACTTGGTTCTTGACATGCTAACAGAACCGCAATAACTAATTAATCAACAGTTGTATCCGTGTCAGTCCTCATTTTCAAATCTAGAGACAAAATATTTTACACACGTGTACTTAGTCTAACCAGTTAAACAATAAGAGAAGTTAAGCAATGGAGAGAAGTCAAACAAGTAGAGGATGAGGAAGACCAAGAAAGACTATAAGAGAAGTTATTAAGATCTCGAGATTAACGATTTGGATAGAAACATGGTTCTGGATAGAACATTATGGTGAAAGTTGATCCATGTAGCCAACCCCATTTAGCGGGATAAGACTTAGTTGTTGTTGTTGTTTGTACTTGGTCTAACTCTTTAACCCAAAGGAAATTAAAAAATGCAAGAAAAGAATTTTTAATCCATAATTAAAGAATTTTTAATCCAAAATTGAATAGTTGTGATTGCTTGATTATTCTTGCCTTTTGTTTCTTGATATGTTTCCAGAGATCTAGGCAGTTGCAGGAGATTAGTGGAAGTTAAATTATGCCACCACACCATGACCAAACGAGTTTAGATCATGATTGCAAACTGCATTCATATTTTTTAACTGGTGAAAAGTGATTGCAAACTCAGTAATTTTGAAATTTGAAAAGCTTCTATTCTCAGAATTTGAAAATTTTCAGTCAGACTAAAAAAAATAAAGAAAAATTCCTTTGAGAATATTGTGTGAAATTGACTCCCAGTTCATATCCAACTTCCAATCCAAAAGTTGTTCATCATATAGAAATATTGCCAGTCAGACTAAAAAATAAAGGAAAATTCCAGAAAATATATTAGGTTAAAATTGATTTCCAGTTCTTGTCCAACTTCCAATTTAAAAGTTGTTCATCATATAGAAAAAATTCCAGTTGAGCTAAAAATTAAACGAAAATTCCAGAATGTTTTTTGGATAAAATTGACTTCCGATTTTTGTCCAACTTCCAATTTAAAATAGACATTCTAATAAGAAGTCATTCCTGTCCAGAAATGGAACAGTTTTATTAATGAGAAACAAAAAAAGATATAGAGGAAAAGATCAGGAAGCTTCCAGCTATAGAGGACCTCTCCCAGCCCATGCAATAAGCTCAGAGAAAAGGTGGAAGAATATAGCATAATCTCTTGACCTAAACAACAGCTTGCTTTCTCCATCAGACTCTCCTTCTCTCTCTACTAACCCCCTTACATCCTATCTTTCTTAAATAAATCACATTCTTCTCTCCACTCTTAGCTCTACGAGAATACAGTTTTAGGGTCTTTATTTTAGGCTTTAGCTAAATTGTGATTCGTCAATCCCATCACATTCTACAAATTTTTCCTTCACTTGGTTACTTATAGGATTCGAACGGAAAAACTTGCTACCCAGTTATTGAAATGCAGATTCCTGATGTTTAAAAGCATTCGATACTTACTTGTGGTAGGCAGCACGTCCAACCATAACACCATGAGCACCAGTCTTTAGAGCTGCATTGGTCTACAATCAAAATCCACGTGTAAGGATATCACCAAGGAAGCATCGGATCAATGTGTAAGGATATAATACAACAAATGACAAATACATTAATACAATAACAAAGTCACAAACAACAAAGAGAACTGATTTGATACTGAACAGCACTAACAACAAAAGTATGAGCAAAACTATAGAAGCCCTTCACTGGAATTTGTTAGCGCTAAAAAGTGCAGCGCAATCTAATTAAGAAGCCAAATGATACCTTCAATGTAAGAGATATCGCGACATAATATCAAAAACCATATGATCAAATGTCTAGACTATGATTCTTGTCTGTTCAGTTCTCAAAATAAAACGTTCAATCTTGTCATATGGTGGGTGGAACTGTTTATATCCACACTTCAAGTCTAAAGTGACTTTGCATAGGAAGGCATGTTATGTTAGAGATACAACATAAAACCCTTCATATGTCCTCACATAATAACGTAAGCTCTTAGCATAGATTATCGTGATATTAAAGAATATTCATTTCGTAAGGTGACTTATTTGTTGAATTTGAAAAAGACGTATAATGGTTCCAAAATGGCTGCTTAATAATCATGAATTACCACAAGTGAAACTCAAGGTATGGTACTGAATTAACACAAGACAATGAAATTTATTGAGAGAACTCGAGCCAAAAAGAAATAATTTTAATCATGCATTCACCGTATTCAGTAAATATAAAGGCCTCAATCAATCAGTAATCCAATACTTCATATGTGAACAAACAAGTAGAATCATGTAAGGCTGTCTTAATTAGAATCTAAACCAAGACCAAATTAGTTTATTGATCTCCAAAAACTCCCAGGAATAAATCAGTTATGGAGTTGCTCTTATTCCATGAAATGGAGCAAATGTCCAGTTTTATTGTTGCCTGAACCAAAAATACTGATCTATCAACTAGAGCTGTACTTGGCAAATTCCCAGTAAAAAGTGGAAAAAACTTTTCAATCTCAACCAAGCACTCCTAATCAAAAGATGAAAAAGATTTCCAATCATATGAAAAATGGGAAAATAACAGAAAAAACCAAAGCTTTTAATTTCCAAAACAACATAACAAAAAATCCACATCTCTAGATATACTACCTGGACATAGACCAAACGGAAAACAGAGAGTTAAATATGAAGATGCATGATAAACCAATATAGCCAACTCATTTTTAAAAACCAACACAGCTTGTACAAACAAACAACTCAGTGACAAAACAGAATGACGGTTAAAACACTGAAATGAGTTTATTGCACATATAGGTAGGGAATATGTCAATAAATTATGAACATGCCATTTTGTGTTGTGCCTTCATGTCAAACACAATTACACATGTCTGGCTCATCTCTTCCTCTCACCGTGCATATGTGCAAATTACAATTTTTAGAATGTGGTGTGCCCCTATGCTAGTGATAAAGAATCATAGTAAAATATTTTAGTGACAAATGTTTTCTATAATGAATACCAAGTCCTCAATAACAGAATGATCATAGTGACTGTGCTAGACTTCTTAGAGAACAATATACGAGGAGCGGGCATAAACTAATTAACAGTTAAGGCAGTTATGTGGTTTAGTTTTAGGAATAAATAAAGAAAGGAAAAGAGAAAGTGACTATTGGATAGTTACTGAGTGGTTATGGGAGGGAGAGACCAAGCTCTCTAATTCTCAGAAGGGAGAGACCAAGACTCTCAAATTACTTGTAAAGGAATCTGCTTGGTAACATTAAACCATCTCTTTCCTTAACATATGTGTTATTTCCTAATTTACTGTATTGTAAGAGAACTCATTCTCTATTCTGAGATAACAGACCAGAGATTGTTATAAAATATTGTTGTTTCTACTAATTTTATCAATATAGATATCAGTTTTATCAGACTGCAACTCACCTCATCAATATTATTAATGCCACCATTGATTGTAAATGTTAAGTCAGGAAAGTCGCGCAAGAGGCCATAAAAGTATTCATATCTGCATTAAGGGATGAGTTATCTCCAATGCTATATATAAATAATGACTAAAAAATAAGTTTTGTTGGAACATACTTCAGTGGAGGAATACTCCGATTTTCAGCAGGACTGAGGCCATTCAATAGTGCCTTTCTTGAGTGAATTATGAAATGCCTAGTAGGTGACAAAGAAGAGACCTTGTAAATGAAATCACCTGATAGAAAGTGTTAAATAAAGATCAACGCATAATCTCAACAACCAAAGGCACAAACATTTTGAAGAAATAATATAGAGTAAGGGCTCCTAAACTATATCAATAACAATAAGCTTTTAGGACAACTGTTACATAAAAAGTGTCCATCTTATTATGCCCAATCACAAATTCTAAGAAGCAAGTATCAAACCAGCATCTAAGATTTGAGTGACATTTGCTACAAACTACAGCTGTATAATGCTCTTCAAAAGAAGGTTTGTATGAAGAAAAAATGGGAATGGAAGGTTGTGGTCAGTGTACTGTAGTTAATAATTCGAATATCCTCAAAAATAGTACAAGCCGCATCAAAAAAATCAAGACCAGATACTCTTATAAGTTACAGCTAAGTTGTAGAAGCAAGCTTCAAGCCCATTAAAGTTTTGATGAAGACAACAAGAACAAGTTTTCTACACAACATATACATACGCAAAAAGCAAAAGATTCAAGTAAACATCAAAGATCAAGATAGTGCTCTAGCATGTGACTACTATGGATCAAAGTTTCTCTTACAAGCTTCAAGTGTTAAAGATAGAGTTTTGAACATCAAGCCAAAGGTATAACAAATATTACTTGAAAAAATACATACAAGTGTTCAAAATTCATATTTCACTACACATATATCACAAACACTTTTAAAACATTTTTCAAATGTTCTCTCATGTTAAAAATAACTCTGTTTTGAAAATCTTTCAGTGTTAACCGATTAACCCTTTTGGTTAACCGGTTAACGGACCTTAAATTTAACTTACTGGTGATTTTGTTACAGTGTTAACCGATTAACACATATGGTTAACCGGTTAACATGTGTAAATTTTGAATAATTTTTAAGCGTTGAAAGGTGTTAACCGATTAACACTGAAACAGCAAGCAAAAATGGCAGCTTTTCATGATAATATGCATTGCTTTCTATTTGATTGCTGACTGTTTTTGCTGCACAAAATCACACCCTTTTGTAAAGGTATTTTGATCAATATAAATTGATATCAAATTTAAAATTCCAATTAACCTCCAAGAAACAAAATCATAAATTTTTCTCATTCTCTTCATCTCTCAAATTTTCATAAAGTGTTCCAAAAAAAAAACAATTTTTGAAAGAAGCCCTTTGAATAAATTTTCACATTATCACAGCTTCATTTCATTTCTTTTTAAAAGAACACTTGTATATTTCTTTGAGTAATATTTGTTTCAAGGAGAAGATTGATAGCATTAAACTCTCAAAGATTTCAAACTTATTTCAAAGATCATTTTGTATTACCTTGTTATCCAGGATTGTTGGAAACAAGTGAAGTGGTTGAAGAGGATTGTTCTTCATACACTTGGATTACCTATAGATTAGATAGTAGGCTTCACCATTGGTGTGATTAGGTTGTGCAATAATTCTAAACTATAGTGAAATCTCTTTCGAGTCGAAAGGGGAGTGGAGTACTCTCGGAGTGTGAGGGGAACCACTATAAATTTCTTGTGTCTCTTTTCTTTTCCGCACTTTATTTTCAAGTCCTAACATCAAAACCGAAAAAGAACCAAGAACCTAGAAAGATTGCAAATAATTTTTTTGAGAACCTAAGTCTTAATAAAGGTTGAATCTTGAGATAATTCACCAAGATTGTTTTCATCTATATGGAGGAGTGGACAATAATTAAGGATGAACCCAGGAGAGAGAAAGCACTGTGTTGTGAGAGAAACCACTATGACGTCGAGAGTAAGTATCAAAATTATTTTCCAGTCCACGACCTTTTCTAAAACCACATCCCACAGCATTTCCCCGTACAGAATCACACTACCCAAATGCCACCTGTGCCTATATTATGTTATACTGCAGCCCATTTTGAGTTAATATTTTCAATATCCCCCATCATGTCCTCCAAGCATTCATGGGTCTAATAACTTATAAGCCCTAGTTAAGGCTTGTTGTATGCCTTGACCTTGGATGGAACAAAAAATGTTGTTAAGAAAGGGCCTTACATAGTTCATTGTATGAATCATGATCATCCACGCCGATTCGACATTTGACACTGACAGGTACATTTGTATTGGCAGCAATTACTGAAACAGCCTCGGCAACAAACTTTCCTTGTATGCATTAGAGTTCTCTATTAATGCACAATGATGGAGAAAACATAAATCTCTTTGCATGTAATATTTAACCATAGATAGTTTTCTAACCTTTGGCTCAAGCATAAGACGCGCACCAAAGCACCCACGTCCAGCTACTCTAGGACTAGGGCATCCACAACTGGTATACATTGAAAAATAATAAAGGAATCTGCCAGATATCAATATAACAATGACATTTCAAAACTTAAGATGGTAAGAAACAAACTAACTTGAAGTTGATCTCATCATAGCCGTAAACATCAGCAAGTTCAGTTGCTTTCGCCAAATTCTCTAAATTACTGCCTCCGATTTGAAGCACAATAGGATGTTGGTCTGGAGAATATGCCAAGAATCTGTCCTGAGCATAAGAAACAAAAATAATCAATGGTTTTTCACAAACAATTCATCCCAAAGCAATGGCTTTGTATACCACCTCATAAATTTCTTCTCTTACACTGCACACACAGATAGCCAAAGCAAGGAGCTCACAATTTTGTATAGAATTATCTAGCAGGAGAACAGAATTTTTCCTAGACTTTTCTCGGTTTGAAATCCCACCCTTTCTAAAACTATCCTTCTCATTTTCACCGTAAATCTTTTTTTCACATGTGATACTACGTATATGTTTGGTTTAGCTTTTGGAACCAAAAGCAATTCTAGAGGTGTAGATTGATTTTGGAATGATTTTGAGGTGATTGGTTCTTTTAAAGTAGAATTGATTCTGCCTCTAGAATTGATTATACTTGAAGCTAGAATTTGCAGCTTTTAAGTTTAAACATGATTTTTACACTAAAATTTGTTGTTCAACTCACTTTTACATAAATGTATGCAAACATAAATCAATTCACATCCAACTCACTTTTAAGTTTTAACCAAAATCAATTCTACAAAATCAATTCCCTCAAAATCAATTATCATCGCCGTAGAACCAAACACACACTACTACTAACTAACTGAAGCATACAAACAATTAGCCTCCACCTAACAGCTTGAACTTATAGGAGATTCAAACTTCAACAAATTGCAACCACAAATCTCATTATCCACACAACTCCTTAGTTTTCTTTTACAATTTCTTTCTTGTCTAATTACAAGCAGAATTGTCATTATAAACTTACCAGATTACCCTTTTGATAAACAATTGTTTCAGCCGCAAGCATCTCGGTATAGAGCCAAGCATGTTTCGACATGAGGCGTGCAAGAGTTCTATAATGATTATCTGTCCAATCCATCATCGGAGCAACACTAAAATTCAAGCAAAAACAAACCATATCAAATCAGAACATCATACCTATCTATAGATATCAAATCATAAAGTAAGAATAGATGAAACACAACATAAAGCAAAGATACCTAAACCAAGGAGGAAAGTAGTCATTTGCAACCATTGTAGCAGCTACACTGTGTGTTTCTTCCTTTGAAGTATAAGCAAATAACAACCCTAACCTGCACAAATTCTTCTTAAGATGCGTGAAACTTCCATTAATTTGAAGTTTTGAAGTAAAAAATGGTGGTGTGATTGAGAATTGAGAGACAGTAATTGGAGAGAAATTAGGTTAGGGAAGGAGAGCGGCGGAACTTACTCGGAATCCGGCGGAAGTTACTCAGAATCCGGCGGCAAATTGAGAAGTTTTGAGTTTTCCGGGTTGCTTTGATGTGTGTAGTACAAGAGTCTCCTCTCGAACCAAAGGTGTATCGTGACTCTGCTTTTAAGTTCTAACCCAAATCTTTTTAAATAATGGGAAAATATCCATTTAGTTGTAAGTTACTCTCTAATAATAGAATTTTCCAAAGATTTTTTTTATAAAAAATATATATATTCCCTTTGTTGTAAAATAACTTTATATTTGTAAAAAAAATATTATTATTAATAAAATACTTTTCAAAATTCATTATGATTTTTTTTTAAAGAGAGGGTCTAAGCCCATGGAAAAAAACAAGAACTACCTATGGATAATTATATCAACTGCGATGCTTAAGAGGTCACCCTCGTATAAATGCTTAATTGACGACACACGCGCTTCAAGAAAGCAAACACATTTAGCCTCTTAAATTCCTTGTTTAGCCAACGCATATACTCACACGTTATCTTCTCTATAAACATGTATGATTTGAATCTTCATGTTATTATTCATAATCAATCTGATCTTCTCAATAACGCTTTTCTCCAAAATATTGTTATCTATACTAGTATTAATATCAGGCACCACTTGAGAGGAATCCACGCAGATATCAATTCTAGTAAATCCCATCTCAATAGCTATTTGGAGGCCTTCAAGTACTCCTCGTAACTTTGTTGTATACACATCACAATAGCCAATATGCTTGACAAAATCCTCGAGCCACTCTCCTTAATTTCCTCTGATAATCTCACTACACCTGTTATTCCTTGATTGTCTCTAGCCCCATCTGAATTGAGTTTCACTATTCCCTCACTAGGTGCTTTCGATTTGATTCGGACCACCTCTCGCATGTGCATAGTTGAGACGTTAGCTGCAAACAATGTATGAGAATAGTCTTTGACGTTGTTCATAGACGTTGGATGTTGGAAGAGGTTTAACTTTTATTTTAACCAACAAAAAATAATGCAAACGGACGATGGTGATGAATTAACAGTGTAAAATTTTCTTATACTGACAATGTATAGTAATTAATCTCTTTCATTATAACTAGTTTTTTTTAAGTTTAATGGATATGGACCGATAGTGTAAAATAGTTTTACACTATCATCCAATAAAAAATCAATAGCCATGTCATTAAAAGAATTTTAAAATATAAACATGATGCGGTGGGATACATGATCGTTATTTGGTTGATAATGTAAAAATTATACTATCAATGTATCATCCATTTTTTTAATTGTATTTTATAATTAACAGTGATTGAATCATAGTTGATATATTGTTTACTTTGTTGTGTGATAAAGGTGAATACAAGAAGTCTACCTTGTGTTTAAATTGTTTCATATTTGAGAATTTATCCAATACTCTCTTCGTTCCTTTTTAAATGTCATTTTTTTACTATTTACACATATCAAAAAAATTAATAATTGTTGTTACTTTTTAAACAATGATTATCTTTTTGCATATTTTACCCTCAGCTTTATATTAATTGATTTGATTTTTTCTCTTTGTAATAAATAATTAGGGGTAGTTTTGACAAAACAATACTACTTTGAACTTTGAAATGACACTTAAAAATAAATATTTTTTTTAAAAGTGACACTTAAAAAAGAACGGAGGGGGTAATGTTAGTTTTGTATGCAGTATATTTTTTGTGCTTTGCGTTTTTCTTTTTGCTTTTTTTAGAGGTATCTTTTATATAGTTATAAAAACAACAATCTGCTATCAATTATATCTAAGTTCTACCCAATATGCTCAAATTGTTAAACTCTAATCCTTTTATAATCCAATTTTTCATCCCATGAAAGCATTACATGCATATGAAAGCTTAATTCTTCTTAACCATAATGTTCGCCCTAAACCCTTATGTCAAATGGTCCAATTCTCCAAACCATTCATCACATTTTCAATTTATACTCGCAGTTTATCAATGGAAAAATAACTCATATCCTTTGTATTTATTAAAAAGTACATATATGTGGTACTTCTAAGTTGGTAAGGGTGGTCAGAGGCTTTAGAGTTTGTGGTTGTTAGAGCAAGCTCATGCAGGTGACTAGTATTTGTTTTTGAGGTGTTTTTTATGGGGTTAGAGCAAGCTCACGAGGATGAGAGGCTCTGTTTATGGGGTATTTACGGTGAATGTCAAATTGACCCCCCTCATTCCTTAGGTTGAGATATTTATAGAGTTTTGTGGGTTTGGACTTACGGTTTTCTAAGGAGTGGCAATCGCCCCTTCTTGACTGTGAGAATTGTTGACTGCCTACTTCTCAAGGAATCGTGGCACTAACCACTTCCTAGTGTGGTTATGGACTGCAAGCACGTCACATTCACTTTTCTCATCAGGGTGAGCTTACTACTGTGGGAATATCAAACGTCAGTCAAGTGATTTTTAGAGATGTCAAAACATCAGTCAATTATGGAAAATTGATCATTTGGTGGGAAAGAAGTGTGTGTGGCATTTAATTTTACTCATGATGGTTTTCTTGTGGAAACCTGGTCTAGTTTCTTTCTTTATGTGTGTCCTTGACGTGTGAAACCACTTCCACCACTACAAGAAAAAAGGAGATTTACGACACTTGAGTTGCGACAGTTATCACAAAACCGTCCTTATTCCTGGATTGCGACGGTTGTCACGACAGTTAGGGTCAACTGTCGTAGATTTTTTGCGACAGTTATCAAAAAACCGTCCTTATTTCTGGACTACGACAGTTCTCACGACGGTTTGAGCTAACCATCGCAAATATTTTAGGCATGTTGTATAAAATAATGCGACAGTTACCAAAGAACCGCCCTCTTTTCACACTCGCGACAGTTAAGGCGAACTGTCGCAATTACTTTAGCCAATCATAATCACTATTTTTTATATTCCTTTAATTTTCCACTTTTTTCTTTCATTTTTATTTTCTAACCTTTTCAATTTTATTAATTAATTTAATAAATAATTATTATAATTATTATAATTTGTCTAAAATAATAGTAAAATATTTTCTGTTTTATTATATAAATAGTTAACTTTTATTAAAATTAATTTTGGTAACAATGTTAATATATTTATACTTGTTATAAAATTAGAATGATATTTTTAATCTCTATTTGTTCTATTTATTAATTATTTTTAATGTGAATTGTGAAATTTTTTAATTTTAAATTAAATTTTAATAATTAATCTAAATTTATTAAAGAAAATATTAGTTTTACTTAATATATTTATTTTTTGTTTTTGTGAAATTAAAAAATATAATCCTATATATTTTTAATCCAATAAAATTAATAAAAGGAATAAATTTTTTGAAATTGGAGCAATTGCCAACTGTGCAGTTCCGTCGCTTGCAATCGGAAAACGAAGAGAGCGATAGCTCCCATGGCGATGACAGTGCACGGTTCATACTTTCTATTTCAAACAAATCGTAATTCATAGGGTTTTCTTTAAATTCTGGTGGGAAATTGGTAGGGTTTTGTAGAAATGAACTTAGGATCAAAGCAATTTCCCCAAAAATGAACTTAGGGTTTTTATTTGTATAATTCAAAATTATACTGCTGTGACCAAATTTACTATCTATGTATTATACTAAGGATTTATGTGTGCTTTTAGTTTGCAATTTTTCTTTTAAGCTTTTTCTTCAATGTATATACATTTTTAATTATTTTACTGATTTTGTTTTGTATCTGATGTTGCAAATTGGTGATCTGGGGTTGTTCATATCTTTACAGTGTAAGTTGGAAACTAAACTTTAAGCTTTGTTTTATGACCACGATTATATAGCAGATTAAGGCTAATTAACCTTTAACCTTTTTGTTTCTTTTTGGACGTGTAGCCTTGCTGGGTTGGCTTTTATGTTTTCGGCTAGCATTTTACTACAGATTCTGGTATGTGTTTAGCGATGAGACTGATTGTGCTTCTTTTATATACTTGAAATGAATTGAGTGATGTCTATTTGAGTGATGAGACTGAAGATTTTTAACTTTAGAGGGTTTTGAATAGAGGGTTATTTACCATTGGAGCAAGTTCTAATCTAGTGACAGTTGTTAGCTATTTAGGGCTGTTTGGATAAATAAGTTAATTAAGTGCTTATGTATAAGCTGACGAAATGGAAAATATTGTTCTCATACAAAGTTTTTAGTTTGTTTGCATATGCTATATTGCAGAACATATGAAATTAATGTGAAAACAGTTCATGGGCATGTCATTAGTTAGATGTCTTTTAGATAAGCTCAAACAAGCCTAAATAATTAGGTCATATTTGGAAGTGGAGGTTTTCTTTAATCTCTTGAAGCTTACTAGTTACTAGATGTTAGGTATATAGTTAGGTTTGTCTGGAAGAGTGAGAGACTGTTATGTTTTTAACAAAGCGGTTATTTCATTTTATTTGACTCTCGTTGGAATGACATGGCACTGTCACAGATGGTGCTTGAATCTAATGGTGCCTCAATCTGGAAAATGGTTGTGGCTATGTCCAAAGGTGATGATGGCGAAACCAATGGTGTTCATATTGAAAATGGTTTTTCAAAGAGATTTCTTAATGGTTTTGATGAACATGAGGACAGTGAAAGTGATGAAGATTCTGATTCACCTGAGGTTCTAAAGCAATCCATATTAGAGGGTCCAAGAGTAGCAATTGGTTTTGATGATGGATGTGTTAGAATTTATACTATATCTGATTCAAATGAATTTATATACTTAAAATCCTTGACCCGGGTATCAGGTTAGATTTTTTTGTCTTTTTTTAAAAATATTTTTTATAATTTTTTTAAATGATATTCTTTAATCCCATTAGAGGATGATTTATGATATTGTTTCATTGTTTTCAGGACGAGTTTTAAGTGTGGCTTGGAGCGCCGATGCTAAATTCATATTTTCAGGGAGTAGTGATGGGTATGTATTATTGTTGTGTTTGGTATTGTCATATAGATCATTGTGTGACTTCGATTGTGCACCACTCAAAATTTTATTTCACTTGAACCCAAGTTGCATGCTTAATTCATAAAAAGGTTAGCATATCCTGCAGCATCATAATCCACTTTTCTTTATAAATAAAAATAAAAATTGATATGACTTAGGTAAATATGATCACATGTTTCTTCTCATAATGTTAAATACAAATTAAGAACATTCAGCTGCAGAATTTGTTTTTTTGGACATGGTTCAGTTAACACATTTTTTTGTCTACTCATATAGGATAATACGTATCTGGAATGCCAAATCAGGTCTTGAAGCCCATAGGATTCAAGCTAGACTCGGTGGTGACAGTGGACATGAACTTTGTATATGGTCACTACTGTTTTTGAGGTGACAACAACCACATCTTTTTGTTCAACTGCTTAAGATGTGCATTCTTCTATAATTCATATTTACTTTATTGCTTTGATTTTAGTATTGGAGTACCACTGCCTGTTTCCTACCTGTGTTGCTGATTTAGTTATTATTTAGGTCTGGGACACTTGTTAGTGGAGACAATAGTGGGAGCGTCCAGTTTTGGGATTGGCAAAAAGGAGCTCCGTGTCAAGAACCTATTACTCGTTACAAGGGAGATGTACATGCTTTGGCAGCAACCCCTAATCACAATATGGTGTTCTCTGTCGGTTCTGATGGAAAAGGTATGTAGTTCCAAAACCTGTCAATTGTTATGAACCATGGAAATTGATCTTTTTAACTCCAAAAGAAAGTGAACGACCTGTTGATTTTTTCTTCTTCTATTTTAATCTACGTAGTGAAACTGATGAGCTGTCTGAGGATAAGATTTGTTATCTTATATTTCAGTTTCTAATTTATTACTTATTTTTTTATTTTATGTTATGTTTGTTTTACTTTTTAAGTTATTATTTTCTAAATATCATTATCTTTATTTTGAATTAGTATATTATATTGCATACTATAATTGTTTTATTTTATTTTTATCATACTATTTTTAATGTCTTTGTTTTATTAATGATTTAATGTTATTTTGAGAGATTATTATTTAGATTGTGAGGACCAACAAAACCAAAAAAAACAAGATAAAACATATCGACAACATGGACAAGGTACCTGAAATTAAGCTATCTAAGTCCAACTGCCGTCTTAGTTATTTAAAACTGATATGTCATGCGGGGACCCAACAGTTAGGCAGAAGGAAGATGCAGTGGAGAGAGAAGCTTAGCATGAGAACTATGGAACTGCTTGAATCTTACAAAGGGTTACAAGCTATTGCTTAATAATTAGTGGTATGCTTGGTTTTTTGCAAGCTTCACCATACCGGCCTCTACAGCTTATATTTTTCTGTGATTTGGCTGGATGATGTGAGCTACAGCCGCTGCCTAAAATTGCGATGCAACAGCTGTACTAGTAGTGCCTAGTGGCTGCCGGCCATTCTATGGCGTTGTTGCCGCCACTACATTCATTATTAACTACAGAGCAGACACCCTCTCTTCTCTTTTCTTGAAATGTAATTGTGTCTCCGTATCTTGAACTGATCTTTCTTTCTGCAATTATGTTCTCTTAAGAGAAATGCAATTATGTATTATCTCAAAGTCAACATATTTTAATGTTGTTATCTTTTCATTAAACTGTTGTTTCTGGCCTTTGTTTTGCTCATTTTAATTAAGATTAAATGTTACACAATTCTTTGTCATTGAGGGAATGATAAAATGTTTGTTTCACTTTATTGGAAGGTTGTTCTTTATAAATTGTCTTCATCAACCATGGAGAAAGAGAATTGGGTATATGTTGATTATAAAAAAGGTCATTCACATGATGTCCGAGCCTTGACTGTTGTTGTGCCAATTAGCCAAGAAGGTCTGTGAAAGTTTATTGTTTTATTATTTTTATGCTCTACTCTGAAAGTGGTATTAACGAATATGTGCTTGGATGGTCTTGTTTGCAAAATCTGTATGTCCTGTGTTATAGAGAGTATTTTAGAGAAAGTTGAAAAGTGTATTTTGATGCTTTTTTTTTTCTGAGAATCAGAAATCAATCTTTTAGCTTAACTGATAGTTATTTTCAATGCAAAAAACAACAATTTCTTTTCTGTTGAGAAGCTCATTGAAACAGACTTTTGTATTTTACATTTTATCATTTCTGTTCCATAAACCTGGATTTCCATTTGGCTGATACTTTGCCTGATGAAAGGATCAAAAGAGCTCGTCTTGAAGTAAAGCCAGACGATTCTGGTTAACCACAAATGGGCTCATTTAGGGCAACCAATGCTTATCTCAGCAGGGGATGACACAAAACTCTATGCATACGTTGTTAAAGAATTCACTGGGTTTAAACCTCATTGTATCTTTCCTGTGCCTCAGAGAACACCCTTCCACATAGCACTTAATACTTCCTTCAATCAATCACCAATGCTTTTACTGCAGTCTTCACATTGGATAGAAGTCTGTTTGCTACATCTCAAAAGTGTTCGCAGAATCGAAGACTATACAAAGGCTGAAAGTGTTGGCCGATTCAAGATAAAGGCATCTCGTAAAATAATTTGTAGTGCCCTTGCTAATACATGGGTGTTTTTGCGTATTCCGATAATGAAAAGCCTATTCTTTATAAAGTGGAGAGATCTGAAGCAGGAAAAATTACATGGAGTTTTGGTAAAAGGAAGCTTCCCGAGAGATTACCAACTGCCCATTCAATGATTTTTTTCTCATGAATCTTCTTGGTTGATAGTAGCTGGCCTTGATAGAAGAATATATGTAAGTTTGCAATATTCATCATCTCTAAATGTATGTTTTAGTAATTTTTTGGATTATGCATAGTGTGGATGCTTCTTTCTGAAATGAATGTGTTGGTGCAAACTTTCAAGTTCTGTGATATTTGGATTAAGCATCTATTTTCCTTGTTTCATTAATCTTGTTTGCTTTTGATTATTGTAAGGTTGTGGATGCCAATAGCTCGGAACTGGTACATACTTTTACACCATTTCGTGAATCACAAGATGAAAACGATGGATTATCAACAACTGAACCACCCATCACAAAATTGTGTACTAGTTCTGATAGATAGTGGTTGGCCGCCGTGAATTGCTTTGGGGATATATATGTATTTAACTTGGAGACACTGAGGTATTTTTCTAATTTGCTCAATTTCTTTTTAATTGAGACACTTACTACTTAAATTGCTTTACTTCAGGTAGCTAGACCATACTTTAGGTTAAGGAAACTTGAAATTTAGAAACACTTCTAGGAAAATTGCAATAAAATGCACAGAACTTATGTTTTTCACATCCACGATCATTTTTTTCCAGTCTGTTAATATCTAGGGAACAATCTTTCATGCTCAGAACTTATAAAATGAACATTTTTTTGTTGAACAGGCAACACGGGTTCATTTCAAGATTGGATGGCGCCTCTGTTACAATTGCTGGATTTCCACCTCAGAATTATTAATATTTAGTACCTTAATTTGTTTTTTTTCTATACTTTGCAGCGAAGAGCTTTGGAGTGACTGAGTTTATTAATCCAAAAGAACATGAGAACCCAATTCAGCAGGTTATAGTTGGTCTCACAGATGGTGGAATTGATTATAGTTTTGAATGCATTGGAAATGTCTAAGTAATGAGGGCTGCTTTGGAATGTTGCAACCGAAGCTTCTAATGTGAGTTCTATTGACGTGGAGTGGCGAAAGAGACATTATCACATCTTAAAGCAATTGTCTGGGCACTTTGTGCGTGATGCAAATTATAGCTGTTGTGTTATATGTTTGAATTGTTGCGTATGCGATTGGATATTGTATACATGTTATGTGTGACGTGGTTAAAAAATTAGAGAACGTAAGGTTAATGATTGAAAACTTTTTTATGTTAGTGTTTATTGTGTGAATATCATGAATATTGATGATTGTCATTAATGTAACCTACAATAGTTGTATTATGAATCCTAAATGAGTGCAGTTTTTTTAAAAAAAATATTTGCAACTTGCGGCGGTTCAAACCGCCACAATATACCATAGTTTTTTTAAAAAAATATTTGCAAATTGCGGCGGTTCAAACCGCCATAATATACTTTCACAAGCAACAATGAAAACAAAAATCATTAAGCAAGTTACGACGGTTGAAAACCGTCACAATATGGAGATTACGATAATTAGCTACCCGTCTTGAAAATAACAACGGTTTGTACGACAGTTTTCACAACCGTCGCAATACAGCCTCGTGACGCACGTTTCTGCGACGGGATTGAAAGCGTCGTAACTTACAAATTGCGACGGTTAAAACCGTCGTAATCTATCAAAATGAACCGTCGTAATTTGCAAATTTTCTTGTAGTGCACTTCTTGCAAAAGTTGTGCTTCTATACAAATATGTTCCTTGTGCTTTTGGTTTTTTCTTAAAAAGGACCTTGGTTTTCTTTTCATAAAGACATTTTCCTCTCCTTTTTATTTTATAATTTCCATTATTTTATCAAAGAAGTTTCATAGGTGCGGTAGTGCTTCTGTGACCTTTAAGCATGAGGCTCATTAAGCTCTCAGAGGTCCAAGTACTGTAGATTTTTAACCTTTTCCCCTTTTGTTATAAATTGATGACTAGGAAGAATACCAAACGTATCGATGTTCAAGATATCATATCCTCATATTCTGAATCAAAAAAGATTGTGAGGTTCTGTTAAAATATTGAAATGCGAGATTTTGTCATAGACGACATGCTCATAGAGGTTCTTACGCCCATCAAACTTTATCAAGGAGGGAGGCTTGAGTCCTTCGAGAACAGGCGTTTCTCATATCTCGTCTGGGAGGAGCAAGGGATCCATCACCTACATCTCCTCTACGGGGTAACCTCTTGTTGGGATTGATGAATGTTTAGGATGTTATTCTCTAAAGTTTGGTTTTGACGATCATCTCATCCATGTAGGTGTTCTTCTATGCCATGGCATTGGGATCGCTACTACCTCTAATATCATCCTGTGTGGGAGATTTCACTCTCTTGGCAACCATGATTAGGAACAATTAGGGCTAGAAGTGGAGACTTTGGTGAGTATCAAAGTGATGGAATAATAAAAGGTGTGTCTTATGTCAGTTTTACTGGGGGGAGAAGTGGACGCTGCAGTACTTATTAAAAAAAGTACATATGTGTGGCATCCTTAAGTTGGTAGAGATGGTAAGAGGTTTTAGAGTTTGTGGTTGTTAGGGCAAGTTCATGCAGATGAGAAACCCTATTTTTTAGGTGTAACATATATGGGGTTATAGCAAGCTCACAAGATTGAGAGACTTTGTTTATAAGGTATTTGTGGTGAATATCATATCCCTTAGGTTGGAATATTTATAGAGGTCTGTGGGACTGAATTTAGGGTTTCCTAAAGAGTATCAATCGTCTCTCCTTGACTGTGAGACTTGTTGATTGCCTACTTCTCATGGAATTATGGTCTTAACCACTTCCTAGCATTGTTATGGATTGCATACACATCACCATCCACGTTTCTTATTAGGGAGATTCTATTACTGAGTGGGGATCATGCCCAGACAACATATTCTAGGGGTAGGCGCTTGACGAGGATTGGTCCCACCTTACCCTATTGTGAGTCTTTTACAAATATATCACTACACCCTCTAAGTTAAATTGAAATTCAAATAATATTTATACATGAATGCATAATATCAAAGATGCATTGAAAATAAAACATCATTAATGCATGAATTA